TATAGTTGCATCGTCCCTATATAGTGCAGCTATACATGTGTAAGCTGGCTGGCATCGATTGAGGGTGCTAGGGGTGAGTCGGCAGACAGACAGGCGTATCGTTGCAGCGACGCCGCCGCCGGCCGCCGGCCGCTCCGTGCAACAGCTGCGTAGCAGATCGCTAATGTTAAACGTGAGACCATCTTTATTATTCTCGTTATAATCTCTCTACATAGTAAATAAACGAAACGTAACTGTTACTTAATAAAACCGCAGTATTTCGTAATCCAGTAACGCAATATTAGTGTAATCTAATTTGACTATATTAATGTTCGACTCTAGTTTGCACTGACAGTCTGATATTACAAATTGATTGACGTTAAAATGTGTTTATAATAGTTAGTGATTTTTATAAAATGATTTATTTCATGATTGTCGTATAGAAATGTCTGTTTAAAATATTTTTATCTACATAGCAAGGTTTGCATGTAGTTTTAAATTACAAAAGATATTTTTGTTTTTACTTTGGTGTAATCTTTTAATTACGGTACGGATTTATTATTTGTTAGTCCGAATATTGTAGTCATTATTACAATTTCTCGTGTGCAACATTAAGGAGGCGAGATCGCTATCAGTAAGGCAAGACTGTTTTTCAACGTAAGTGCATGCAGCCGGGGTGATTAAATTTTATAGCTTGCCATCACGTTATTTATTTATGTTCAATACTGTATGAATATAGTCTTCATACTGATACATAGACGTATACTAACGATATTTATTAGAAACTCTAAGATGTGATTGCCTTATCTCTAGTCCATGGACGAATGCCGTCCGAATCAATACCTAGGTTTTCGGTTCAATCCAACAGAGATTAATACGATTTATTAATAATTTTGAAGTGCAAAAAATTCTTGTCAAAACAACCATGAAATAGGCACCGCTCTAAAATTGAAATCCACCTAAAACACGAATAATATGACACTGATAAATATAGCTTTCGCGAAATTAGGTATAATTTCGTGTGGCGTATGTCGTGTCTGTTCATCGTTCAATTACAAAGTTGAAGGTCTCCGTTCAAATAATGTGCTCGCAAAAGTTGATGTTGTTAGTTATGTTGGACGCTTATTTTAATATTTATAATACTAGTCATGGTACGTAGTCTCGAGTATTTTTCAGTGAGCTGTAAAATTGTTGTTATATCTGGCGTGTTTGGAATCCCCAGTTTTTGGCAAAAGCCTCTGATAGAGAATGTGCAATTATTTACCATAGTGTATTTAAGTGTCAAGAGTCTTTTGTATTCAATATTGAATGAATTACTTGTAAGGCCTTTTTTGTTTTCCAATAAAAAACAGTTATAAAACATAACTTTGACTTTATGAGAAAAATATCTTTAAACAGTTTCAATGTCATTTATCAAGCGTTTAAGATAAGAAAAGTTATGTTTAACAATCACATCTAGACAGGTTGTGACTATATTCAAGTCGTCAAACTTGAACTACGGGTAACAGCGACCTAAGCTATCATTCGTACTATTACGCTATTGGAATGTCAATTGACGTAATTTCGAGTATGGTCGTTTTTAGTCATAGTCCTGATATCGGCAGAAGTGGCCGCGTCTGTCGGTTGCGTTCTTACAAATTTGTTCCGAGTTGCCTACGCCGGTCTCGTGTGCCGCGATTGTGCTAATCGCGTGCTTCTGCGCAAACGCATGCACTTGATCGTGAAAGTTTATTACCACTGGCCTCAAATACTAGGACAGTTACTAAAAGAAATCGCCTTGTTTTAAGATACTAAGATCGTTTGGACAAAGTAAGCAACGGCACGTTGTATTTCATTTTGTCATTGTAAAGTTGCATGTTGTGTGACTAACGCCATATGCAAGTTTCCATTTCATAATTGAAATTGATGGCATACTACTACTAATGAAGTAACGGGAGGTTTCGTGCACCTCATTGTTATTCGATACTCTTTCGCGCATCCGCTTCTCATAACTATCGCTTGTTTTTCGGTTAAATAATATTTAACACTTGAGCAACGCGATAGTTTCCTAAATTATAAGGATAAAATTAACTCCAGATTATCCCCAGGGTTACTATTTGTATCTAAACTAAGTTTCGGTAAATGTTTATAGTACTACAGTTCATAGAACTTTGTTAGGCACCTATCGGTAATTTTTTTTTTCGAATATATCACTTGTTATTTGTCAACTCAGTGTAGGTACAGGGCCAAAATACATCACGTTTCAATGCTAACCTATCTTCCTTTGTTGCAATCTATTCATTGTTAAATGGCGAATTTAAATAGACAATGTCATCATTACCCTTTATTTATCTATTGACAACTAAACAATCATTGATTATCAAGTGCAAAGAATACCTTCTTGTACTTTGCGTGATTGACGTGCACCTTCACAAAAAGATATAATAACCGTTACCAGATTAGTTATTGCAACGATTTATCAAAAATACGAGAGAAAGCACCTGCATTTTTAATAGCAACATGGGTACTTTTAAATGTGTATTAACGCTTAAGCCCCTGCTTAGAGGTTCATAAAATAATACTAATAAATATGATGTTATTAAATGTTATGACTGTTTCTTCAAATGAGTCAAAAATCAATACACTTTATGTTTATGTACGTATTGTGCATTATAACAGTTAACAGTAACCACGTCAAAATATGTATTTTAGTTATTGTGTACTTAAGTTCTGCCTCAAGCAAGGCTGTTTGACGTCATAGAGCTGAATCACGTGCTGATCGACCTTATTGTTCCCCTGACGGTTTGCAATTCTTTGCTGGTGGATGTTACCCATAAAATATTATCAATTCATTATAATGCCATAGAAAAAATGTCACGAGGTGCTCATTGTTTCGAGGTCTCGTTGTTCAATATGATTTTTTTGCCCGTGAATATTTACTGTACTAAAAATTAGTAGTAACTGGATATTTTTTCAATAGGTTTTCGTCAAAACATCTTTCACGACGTAGTACTGTTTTATTAGAATCATTGTATACAATATGTCTTGAGTAATTAGTCGAAATTTAGTTGTAAGTGTTTGTTAAGGCTAATGAGATTTTATGTTTCTGAATAGTTTTTGAACCGTGTTAGTGAAGCTGAAACGCCGACAGAACAATCTGTTCTTTTAAATGGCAGGAAAATTACCGTTTCGAGGTAACTAACCAATTACTGCTCAAGTGGCACATTTTTCTTTTATTTCACTTTGACCATGAAAGCTACCAAGATGTTGAAGAGTTTGGATTGTGAGATCATCCTCCACTTTAATGATTTAACTGCCTAGGTATGAAAGAATGACTATTGTCTCATTGTTTCTTCCACGCCATTTACACGCGCGCGTGTTGATCATTCTATGCAAAATGGAAACTAATCTGGTTTTATCGTCTTGTTATAATACTCGGTTTAGTTTACTGTTCAAGATGCTAGTATCCCCGCGCGAATCATTGTGTTAGTATCACTAATATTAAACTTTTGTTATGTAGCCTGTGTTAATTGGAATTAGCCTTCTATAACAATTTTCCGACTAATCTCTTTTCAAACTAATAAACATAGCACATTTACTAGGATGTAATGAATCTTTTTACGAACAGAGTGACGGTTTAAAACCATTTAATCGGTAGTCAATTTCTAGAGAAAAAATAGCAAATAGTTGTGGTGAAAAATACTTGTAAGTAATTTTCATAGTGACATTATTTCGTGTGGGCGTAAGCATTAGGCGCGCCAGGCGCTGCCCTCGCTTTGCGGTAATCGATATTTCAGGTACAAAGGAAGAATTAATGGTGTATACCGGTGATTTTTGTGGTTATGATTTATTCATGGTGCCAATGATAAACATATTGACTTGTTTTGATATGGTTTTCAAATGTGCATTACTGGTTCTACTACTCCTTTTGGTTTCTGCCACTCGTTTGTGTTCGTGTTTCACAAATTATGAATTTCATAAGAGTTAATTAAGCAGTGCGCTTGGTCACCCGAGCATATCGTAGAGTTTTTAGTGCTTGCCTACCAATTCTCTCTGGCCCGTCAGACGTGTTCCGTTCCGTCCTTTTCGCAGGTTAATATTTATTCATTGACACCAATTTCCAATTATGTGTTCTGTTTAAGTAACACTTTTGTGTAAAGTAGATATTTATTAATTTGATGACGCGTACAATGATTCTGCCGTGGGGTTTAGGAGGAACTAATCAGTGGATGAATTGTGTACACGGATTAGAATTCCTATAGTAGTGACAAAGTGTCTGTGCTGGTGGAATTCGGAACGAAAGATTGAGTGGTGAAGGGTGGGCAGGCCGATGGTCGCGGTTCGGACGCGTCACGGCGGAGGGCTGTGCGGGCTCGGGCGCGGGGTGCGCGGGCGGCTCGCGCGCCTCGCCGCCGCCCGGCTTCGATCGCGAGCTCTTCCAAGAGCTAAGCTTCCTCCCCGACGCGGAACTGCGCGAGTGTCTCGGCGAATACCCCGACTTCCTATACCACGTGGCGCGGGACAAGTTCGGCCGACTCTACTTTCGTGTCATCAGGACCTTGCTCCTTGATCGAGGTACGGTCATCTTTCCTTTGCGGTTCATCGTCAGTATCTTGCCATTTTGTCCAGTATTCTATATTTTATAAAATATGTAAAATAGCTTTCCTCTTTATTTATCCATTACTCCATTTACACGCTCTCATAAATAAACACGTCATTCTGCTTTGTTCAATGTGCCATACAGTCATGCTTTACGGCTTGTCTCATCTTCTCTGTCCTATTAACGAATGCATGACATTGTTATCAGAAGACTGATTATATTAACCTTGACCGACTAGTTTCTTTTTCTCGATACGTTGATGATGACGAAACAAATTATAAAGATAATGAAGTAAGTTGTAACGTTACATGTATCGTCGTCGTCTGCCGGGTGAACGTTGGTAGTGTAAGTGCGTGCAATGCGGTCGCAATGACTCCCGCCACAGGGTAAAAAAGCGTGAAAGTCTTTCAGGCTCGTGTGGGAGACGTAACCGCCGCGAACACAATCAATATCCGCCGTAATCATGCAGTTAGGTAAGGTTGGGGAAAAAGCACATCCACCGCATTCAATGCATCGAACTATTTATTAACGTTGAGTTCCCACGTGGTTATTTTTTTTACTAAACTTGAAAGCAATTCTCACATCTTTGTTACTAAGTCCTATACTCACGAAGATTGTTCTGAAATTGGTTGTAAGTGATAATTAGCGATTAAGTAAGAATTAACGATGCCGATGCCAGTATTGTACAGCTATTTCGGATCACGAATTGATAATAATTATATACTTTTGTTCTCGTCATTACTTTGGGAATGAGATGTTGAATAAGAATGGAAAATTACCAGAAATAAATGTAAACTCCGGCAAAGACAGACTCAATATGCATTTCATTGAATCATGTAATCAAAACGCAATCGATGCTATGAAATATTTCGCATAGATGCATGTTTTGTACTCCTGTTTTCCCACAGTATAATAGACTGGTTTGTTTTGCTTGCCCTCCACACCAGTGACAGGGAATGTGTTTGTGCGTACCCAGTCACTGTTTCGTAAGGCTCGTTCGCGCTAGTGTTTGTCACTATTGACTCCGTCTTTGTTTATTGATGTAACAATCGCCCAACGCTACATTGGACGCACTACCACGAAATATAGTGTTACGTCTATTGTGTGGTCGCTGCAATCAATAGAAGTTCGATGAACGCCGAGAGCGACGACGACGATCTTATTTTGGGTCTGTAATTCGTTATCTCCCGAATAAACGAGTAATAGCCGATTTGTTAATAATTTCCTTTTAATATGATAGACTTTATCTTATCAATGTTTGCAGCCGGCTAGTGTGATCGCCCACAGTTCGGTCTTCACGCTTGATCGCGTCTCATTTACACGCCTTTTTGCGACACTGATTTGTGTTTTGTTTGTGTATTTGTTGAATTAACTCGCCTATTGTGCTGTGCTGTACTCCTTGTTCAACCCTTTATACAACTGTGTCGTATTTTATATACAACGCTTATTTATTGTGAAAATACAGTTAAGTGAAATAAATACTTGAAAATGTCCAATATGTAAATACTAAGTATGGTCGGTGACCGTTTTTGTTGCGGTAAGTGGTGTGTAGGGGTGATTTTTGGGTTAATTTGACACGGGTATGGTGCATATTTAATTGAATTCTTGTAGGAAATATAACTATTTTACCGGATTTAATTCGCGTGTGTTTGTTTTTTCCAACAAAACAACCGTGTATATCAGTCAACTGCGACTATGGGACCTGTAAAGGGCCCGAAACGTTGGTTTGTTTGAAAAAATTAATATACGCGATTTAAATCCGGTAAAATAGTTTCATTTCCTATGTGTAACAATCTCGAAAACCTAAGAACTCGATATGAGTTCTTGTATTTTGAGAGCGCGATCACACCAGCTTAATTCGACTGCATCACAACTGTAAGCGTTTGGATGCTGTTACATTTGTCGCAACAACAGTTGGCATTTGAGATGCAATTGCGCATTGCCGTCGGCATGGGTGCGCGCTGGCTGTACGTCAGATGTTCTAGTAGTCCCAGGCAGTTTTGATATAGTCGTGATGCAGTCGCGCCGACTGCATGTAAACTGCTTTCCGACTGCTATGTTGCACTTAAGATGCCGTCGGAATGCAGCTTGCGTGACTACAGTTTTTGACTTTTATTAGTGGTTCTTACGTTTAAAACATTCTTATTTTAAGGTAGAAGTATACCTACTTACGACATATTATTGTAGAAATAATTTAGAAATTTTGTTATCGATTGGTCAAATATTTTAAATGTTATTTATGAAAAACTGAATATAAAAGTGTTATTGTATGTAGTTCTTCACTTTAATCGTTCCAGGTTTATAGCTCATACAAGTTTCATTCTTCTAACCATAAAATTGTAAATAATGAGAATGTGAACTCATTGTTGGTTTTTTTTATTGCACATTAAGTATCAGTTAGAGGTACAATTTATTAAATTCCTTTGTTTCGCCATAAACAATTGTGCATGTTTTCGATAAGGTATTCTATTATAACATATAGCATTTTTCATTTTGTGTGGGTTTTTTGCAGTTCTATGCAGCAACAGGGTGAGCCAAATGACAAAAACCTACAATGACGTCGAAGCGGTAACACGGCTATTGGAAGAAGTGAGTTTTATTATTTTTCGTGTTGCTTTTTTTCAGTGAGTTGTCATCGTACTGTTTTAAATACTAATTTATTGGAATATTATCAGAGATGTACATGAAAGGCCATTTATAACATGGATAAGATTGCATAAAGTCGAGAAGCTCCGGTCTAATCACTCTACAATACGTAATAGTACATTGTGACATAAGGGCGGTATGTAGGCAATTAATTAAAAACAGGGACATTCAAAACCGGAACTGATGGCCAGGGCTTGTGTGGCATACAAAAGTTTTTATCATACTTAAAGTAGGAAAATTATACTTTTTTAAAAATTATTTATTGCACACGAAAACGCAAATTACATTTAGTAAAACGGAAAACACAAACAAAAGGTACTGCTTTCTTCTAAAAGAAATTTCTTCCTGCTGACCAAAATACACGACCCAATAATTACAATAAAGGGTTTAAGTGCACAACAAAACAAAATGAAATTATGTAATAAAAAAAACAATAGCAAAAATATTAAATTACTACAGACTATATAAATACTTAAATACATATTTCATATTATAATATCTATAAAATGGATGGAACAGAGGATAAATTGTGCTCCTTGACTATCATTTTAAAGATAGGTAAGATTTTATAGCTAAAAGTTACAAATGAAACCTTTATATTACGTATGTCATATGGTTATAAGTATATATCTCATAAAAATTATAAATAAAACAAAAACGACGGTCTTTATATTAGCTTTTATAAAATGAAATCAAAAAGTCCACTAGAATTAGGGGTCGATCTGCGAATTTGGCACAAGGTCTACTACTAGGCTCCGGCTCACCAAGTGGGTGTGAGTGGCGGGAGAGTAGAAAAAAAGCCATATCCGCCCTGGTGTCGTATGATAAAAATACCTGCTATATTGTGCGTGCGTGCGTGCGTGCGTGCGTGCGTGCGTGCGTGCGTGCGTGTTATTTATTATTTATTACTACTCACAGCTAATGCGATGAAAAATTATCTACTATTTACTACGTGTCCAAAAATGTAACAAGAAAGAGCGGTGCTTGTAACATAAGTAAACTTTACTTACAAGTAGCCTCAACAGCGTATAGTACAATGTAATAATTTTGTCTAGTAATAAATACGCAAGCACATAGAAGAATTCGTGAGGTCTGCTAGTTCGTTCCGTGGCTTAGTTGGTATAGCGTCTGCCACGGTAAGCTAGAAGACGTCGCTTCGAATCCGGCCGGATCGAAGGAATTTTCTGAGTGTTCGATCTTTGTATTAATAATTATAACAAACTAGTGGAGTCATTTCACAAAAAATAATTGAATATCTATTCAATAAAAATATAAAATAGCAATGAATAGGTCAACTTATTTTTTTATCAAATTATGATGTAGTAAAAATACACTAGAAACTAAAACGCTTCACCTTCTTGACTTTGTTGTTTGTAATATTCTAAATAATATCCAATGGTAAAATTGCGCGTTTGCAGAAAGAGAAAGATTTAGAGTTAACGGCCCGTATCGGCAAGGAACTGCTTGCTGCGAACGGCCACCTGGAAGCTCGTGTGACGTCACTCGAGGGCGAGCTCCGCAGCGCGCGTGACCACATCACGCAGCTGCGACACGACCTCAGCGCCAAAACTGATCTGCTGCAGGTATGTATTTATTAGTTTATTCATTAGCTAGTCGCTTCTTCAGCAGTAAATATATTGATTGCATTGCAATGGCCTCCGTGATTTAGTTCCTATTTTATTTGCGGGCTCGGCTCGAAGTATCTTAGTCATATAATGCTAATCTTCATTGCTTTAACAATTTCTTAACAACCAAACTGTTACATGCATGGGAGACCAAAAGACTAGAGACCCACAGAGCGTGAGCCACAGGAGGACGGAGCATACGGCGGTAAAGCAATAATAGCTTTCAACTGTGTAGGTGCTAACAAATGACACAGAGGAGATTACAACGCCGACAGAGCAGGAGTCGGCAGGTGCAGTTGCGCTGCGCAAGCGCACCGGCGCACTGGAGCGCGAGAATCGCGCGCTGCGCGAAGAGGCCGCGCGCCTCGCCGCCGGCGCCGACAGCGCTGAGCTGGCCGAGCAGCAGCTGCTGCGGGACATAGCACATCAACTTGGTTAGTACTCCAAATGTTGTACACCAACTTATCGAATCTACGTATGTCCAGTCCACTGTTTGTTCAAATGCAGGAAATTGTCGTGTCAGATTCGATCGATTGAAGATCGTAACACAAATTTTGTTCCTACCAACTGACATTTGACTAATATAATATGACTGTCAGGTTCTTGAAGACGGGTTTTGGAAAAGTTAAGTTTAAAAGATTGCAGTTTTGTATTCTTGTTCCTGACAAATGCAATGATGTTTTCATGATTTTCATCTAAATGAATTTTTTTTATTACTAACTTGAACATCAAGCTAAACTATTGATTATAATCTAACGGATAAATATAAAATGATAAATAATTATATAATTACACAATATTATTTTGATTTTATATTGTTACATAAACACTTCATTAGTGGTTACTTTTAGTTTACGGTTTTAAATGTAAACATAATAAAACAGAGAAGGACGGCCCTGGTGCTTCGTTGTCAATTGTATTAGAGTCTTTCTAAACATTTTAACCAAAACTTACGCGTGAAAACATATCACGAAGCAATTATGCTAGTACTTTTGGAAGGACGCACCTTTGTTGTGGGACTCGTGAATCACTCATACTATTTACCATATAGTGAAATCAAGTTTGTATGAATGTGTTGCATAACATGTGACGTTTTATATGAGTAATTCTTTTATTATTTTTAATTTCTCTTGTGAAAAGAAACTATATCGAAACTCCTCATAATACTTTGATAAACAATAGATAAATGTGCATTGTTTTCCGTAAGTGTAAGTAGGTAATCGTATCAATATCAATTTATCAAAAACATTCCTACATGTTACCGTAATAAGTAATAAGTACCTATGGCACTGTAAATTAAGCTGGTATTTGGAAGCACTTAATGCAGTTATCGATTGAAGATTACCTACTTGTGCTGTCTGCGTTTGTTTTCATTTTAAACGTGTATAATATTTCAAGTTATATATTATATATATAACTTGAAATATTATAGCTGAGTAGTCAACAATGTTTGGTTAATGTTATAGTATAATTGTAATAATTCCTGTACTGTACTGTGTTTGATTGCTCTTCCAAGCTGTGATGAAATCCACATGTCAGGGAAGGTTCACAAATTCCTTAGAAAGGTTTATGAAGTCCTCTACCTGTATTAGTAGAGAGTTGTGACCAACATTAAGAAGTAAATGTGTTGATGATTTAATTGATTTAGAATTACAATTAATTTCTTAATGTTACACTATTATTGTTAGAACTGTACTGTTACTATTGATACATAGATTGAGAAAACACAAAGAATTCCTTTGATCTCACTGGACTCGAACCATCGTCTGTTGCCTCAACGTGGCTACCGCTCTTGCCAACTAGATCGAGTCAGTACATCTTACGAATTTCGCTGTTTTAAACGCTTTTTGCCTTAACGCCACATGTGAGGATTTTATGAAAGTTTCTTCAACTCAGTAATAATAACAAAGTAGTTGGGTATTTTCACAAAAAATATATGAATATTCATGAAGTAAATAACAATAAAATATAAAATGTGCAAAATTAAAGTGAACTTTGTGAACCTTAACACGGTCCTAGACCGTAAAACGAAAATTTTAACGTTATGTAGATGTTAAGTTACTTTTAACACACACACACGAGAGAGGAAGAAAGAAAACATTAGCTTGGGTGGGACAAGGTGGCCTAGCAGCGTGTTTTCTATAAGGTTTGCACCCTGTCAGACCATACTTGTTTTAACCAGCTTTATAACATCCTTAAGAAGGCAGCAAGATGTCGTCGAAAAGAAAAAACCTGCGCAGCTTTAATTTGTAAAAACAAAATTGTTAATATAATAAATACAGGCGCATGCACCGTTAGTCATAATCGCATTATTAAAATTTCGGAAACTCCGGATGTTTTGTATTTATTTAAAATTATATATTTTTGTGTGACTGTTTGTTTCTGAATAAATAAAAATGTCCAATAAAATAGTAATGTGTTTTTCATAACCTTCATTTTAGTCTGTACTATGTTCGATGGAACTATTTGAAGTCAATATACAATTTTTATGTTGTATATTACTATATACTATATATCACGGTTAAAGCGGGGATTAATTACTACTACAAACTCTTGCCATTCTGTGGCTCTAGCGAAAAGGGGTACAAGTCAAAAAAGCCAACTTTACAAGGAAACTCGACAAACACGCTTAATATCATATTAAGCTTTAACTATTTTTCGCGTCTCCTTGTAACGTTGGATTTTTTGACTTGTACCTCTTCACTAGAGCAACATAATTTACGTTAGACAGCAAATAGTTTTGTTGTATAAAAATACAACTTAGATATTATAATGTTTATATGAGTTTAGTCGGAGAAAAGGTTCAGTTTAACGACCTTTGATTTAAAGTTATTCAAATACATCTCAAAGCAAAAATAATAGCAATAAATAATGTGCCAATCCGCTAAAGGACAGCTGTTGATTCTGAAATTGCTTGAAAACATAGAGAGAAGCTATCGCATTTTAGGTCAAACAAAAATAACTAAGATTTGTAACTAGGACACTATAATATTTTTAGTACATGATAAATGTATGTTCAAGAAAAGTAGAAACATTAAGAATTTATGCAGAAGATCTAATACGAATATTTTTGTATGTGGTGAGCGCATCCATGTTAAAATATAACTGTAAGGTTATTTTAAATCCGCGATTGTGTTTTGTTTCGCCATATAAATTTACGATTGTCCGCGCACATTTTGTGTGGATAACCATTTTTTATGTTAATATAAAATCATTGTTTTGCTAATGTTATAAGTTATTGTTGCGACCGCATCCTTTTGCGTTTACGGTTCGCAGCTGAGTGTAACCGCAAGTTTATTCTACAGATTTAAATTCAAATAACTATTTTTTTAACCTATCGTTTTCTGGCGCAGTTTTTAACTGCATGTAAGTCAAGACATGTTATTACGACTAAAATCACCTGAAATATAGATTTATGTCACAGCTTTTACATGTTTTTAACTTATTTTAATATTTCTAATAATTAGGTTGTTTTTAAAAATGTCATATTGTGATGTTTCGTACACGAAGTTCTTTTTTCTTTTTTTTTTTTATAGTAAATAAGTGCGCATGTGACCTCCATATCACCTGATCGAAAGCGACGATGGGGTCAATGATGTCATGCACACATAAATAGTGCCTATTCACTCTCGCCTTGAACAGGCCCAAATTATAGCGTTCGGGGAATAAGTCTGTATTTTGTTTGAATAACTGACTAAGGGATCAGGTGGCGACTTTTGCCCAGCAGTGGGATACATCAGGCCAGTTGTAACTGACTGAGAGTATATTTTGAAATTTTCGACAGTATAAATCTCGTGATGCAACGCTTTTGTTTACTGTTATTTTAGACATTGTAGTTCTTATGATGAAGATTTGAGATAACGAACAAATACAAACGATAAAAAGAATACAAATAAATTTAATAGAATAAAAAACTATAAACTATATCAAAAAGTATATGCTTGCGTATATAGTCCTTTTTTATTGTATAGGGAGAAGTATTAGCTTTTTAAGAAAGAAATGTCTAATAGGTTGGTTCATAAAAACTTATAATTACCCAATAAATACGGTTTCTCACATTGGCAAATTTCAGACATTGACATTTTTCTTTTGATAACATGTAAGTCGGTTTTCATTACAGCGAGTGCAAATTCTGAGGCGAGTGCGTTAAGCTCAGAGTTGTTCGAGGAACGTCAGCGAACTATCGATTTGCAGCAGCAACTCGACTCTGCAACCGCGAGGCTTGTGGCTACGGAAAGGAACTTCCAACAGGTACGTTGAGGCTCCACAAATCGAGCACGAGCATAAATATAAGCATTTTATATACGAACTAACAGAAATCGCCCAAACATTGTTCATTGTTGCTTAAATTGAACTTGAAAGCTCATTGACCACACCCTTTACGATGTTATCGACCAGTTAATTATACTATTCCATCTGCTCTTAAATTAACTAACGAGGCAAACAATGTATCTTTGATTTAAAATTTTCTTGAACATTGTTTTTTTACATTGTGACTCATGTCTTTTTTATTAAAGAAAGAAGATTATTTCATGTCCACTTTATTAATGGTTTATCAGCTTAATACATCCATATCGTTTGTGTATTATTGTCTGTATTATGCTTTAAACACCTAATTGGTTTCATTACTTATTGTTAAAGATTTTTTTTTCACAGCTAACTAAGGACCATGAACATACACTACGAATTCTCGAGATTACAAGAGAAAATCAAAATGCGCTTGCAAGTGAATTGGCTGAAGCCAAGGTAACTAGTGTTTAGTTTTTAAGCCCGATGAGCTTCTTTTATTTACAGAAGTATACATCTTTGCCACATTAAATTGAACTCTCGATGATAGAGCATCAAGATAGAGAACCTATAGAGGTTTGCTTATGGCGAGAGGTCTTCTTGCATTGGTTCTTTCATACACTATTCTATAAGGAAACTTCGCGGCATTATGATGATGATAATAACGGTTTATTTCTCAAACACAAATAAAAGCTAGATTAAAAAGACTCGTGTCCACTTGCACTTCACTTAGTTACATCTTAAATTAATCGTTGCAATGCAAAAGACACTCTTAATACATTGTCTTAAGAGTATCTTAATGAATTGGTTTAAAACGTACTTAGGTGTAGTGCAAGTGGACATCAAAGTTAGAAATGAGAGCACTTGTGTGAGAGTGGAGTCCGTACCAGGTAAACTAGAACTTTATTATAGCTCAACAGGCATCTCAACCTTTCGGACAAATCTTAAAATTATACTAGAAATTAATGTCGAGTGTCAAATTGTTCACCGACCTCATTTAGGTCAATACGCACACAACAAAAACGCACACACTCATAAACCAGCACTAGGGAAACCCTGTATCGCGGATGCCATGGATACACACATAGACAACCATAAATTACGCCCTAAATCACGAGATTAATAGATGTACACCATACAAATATTCCTCCCGGCCCGGGAATCGACCCCGAGACCTCTGCGTGGCAGTCCAGCATGGTAACCGTTCGGCCACGGAGGCAGTTAATACGTATTAAACTGCTAGTAAATTTAAACTATCGTTCAAGAGATTACGTAATTACGCTATTATGATATATGATACGCTATTACGGTATTTCATAAGATTGTTTTCATAATAATTATCTCAGGATCGGTATGCGGAAATCGCTGCACACCTGGCTGAGGCACAGGAGCAACTTCGGCAACTGCGCAAGCGCGGCGAGCCGGTCCGTGGGCTCATGCCCAGCGTGGCAGCCGCCGCCGGCCTTTTGCCCGCCTCATTGCATCGAGAGATGCACTCTTCAGTCTACTCCGAGTTCAGTCTCGACTCGGGTATTGGCGACCCGCTTGCACAGTTAGTATATATTTACCACAGTGCACAACAAGATGGGACTCGCGCGAGAGCAACATAAAGCGCGAGGTCTCTATGCGACAATAGCAGTATGTCGCTCTCGCACTAGTCGCGCCCTGTTGTGCTGGTCCTACAGTTTGACCGATTTTTGTTGCCATTTGTATGTCTCTCCACATGTAATTAGAAAGTCGACCAATTTATTCAGTCGTGTAATCCATTGCATTCTGGCCGCCATTTTTTTACCCCAAAGTCATCTACAATTTTTCGCTATAGCAAAAATAGCTATGGATAGTGTGCGCGCTGTTCGCATAAAATCATTGTCAAAAAATAATTAACACACTTTTAAAATTCGGTACTGGTGGTAAGAGTTAGAACGGATTATAAAATAGTAGTTATTGATTTCCTTCCTTATAACTTTTTACTTATTCTTATGCAGGGTATCTGAAGGATACAAAAACTAGTGGACTGTATGATTGTAAAATTGATAAATATTTCCTAGTTTTCAAAGCTTCTTTTATTGCTAATTCACAGGACAAAAATTTAACACGTAAAACAAAAAAAAACAAAACATTAGCAAATCCCATGTCAACCAAAAAAATATAAAAAATAATTAAAAATGCAAGAGTTTGCAACAGTATCGAAAGGTTCTTTTAAAATAAGTTTTCCACTGCAGTATGTTTCTTGAGAATATGTTTAATATGTTTTTTTTTAAATGTTCTTTTCCTCTTGCACTAAAAATATTTGTAGTTGACTGTCCCGCTGTCTTAATGTAAACTGCCATGGTGCGCTGAATGTTTACTTCAACGATATAAGAAACGTTAAAGTATTATTGCAACTGTACACCATAATCATTCATTGTTTAATTTGCAGCTCAAGCATGGCGAAAGTGTTCGAAACTGTGCAGTGCGCGTCGCGTTGGTCGAACGGGTCGCTGGCGGGCTCGGATGTGGCTGACGCACCTCAGACCGTCTCAGCTATCCTTAAGCCAACCCTCAAATTCTCCAGTGACTCCTTCATCGATGAAATCTCCGATACCGATTCAGACGAACTTTACCCGTAAGTGCCAAATGCTTATACTTACTGATGTATGTGTGTATCCTTTAAGGAGAGTGTTAACTTTACCGGTGCGACTAATAAAATAAAGCTTGTCATTTTTAGATTGTCAAATAGTTTTTTTACTTCTTAAATGAAAAGTCCTTGGGAGCATCGTGCTGTATGACATTTCAATAAATATGCAACTGGACGACCACTTTAAGTTTTACAATATTTTGAATAGTTTTGAACTCTGTCCTGTGTGAATTTATACCTCATGACTATTGAAAATAGCATAAGATATATATTGATAAATTTAATGTCCTGTGGCGGTTTGCGCTGATCCTAAGGAGGACAATTTTGCAGCTCGCGTCACATACTTGAAGTCGTGTTTTATGAGTGATTAAGCATATTCTAGGCGAGTAAACCGTGTATTATGTTTTGTAGTGGCGGGACGGGCGTGGGTGTACCAGGAGCGCCGGGTGCAGCGGAGCTAGCCGCTGCGCTGCGGCGCCTCACGCCGCAGGAGATCAACGCGCGCCGTGCTTCTCTTTCCGCCTCACACGTAATCCGCAATAGGAGACACACGGGTTCGTCACTTTTACGATATAACGCATAGGTTCCCAAAGTATTTGGCTTACCACCTACTTATGATATAACGTGTTACCATGCTCTTTGACTTCGTCATTGTTTTCGTTGCTACAAATCTTTTTCTGTGGGATGAAATTTACATTTGATTGCAATTTGAACTTAGATAAAACTTATCATTGCGATGTAAATCGAAAGTTCTGTTCATGGCAGATATGTAATGGATTCGTGTGCTTATTGCAGTGGAGCGAGAGGTGAGTGAGGAGAGCGCAGTGTGGGGTGCAGGCGCTGGCGGTGGGATGGCCCGGTTCCGCATGCCGCACAAGCTGCAGATCGTCAAGCCGCTCGAAGGCTCGCTCACGTTGCATACTTGGTCGCAGCTCGCCAAGCCCACAATGTCCGGTAACTACTCTGCATTGATGATTCTCAATACTTTCGAATTATTCACGTGTCTTTTGTGCTACACAATTTTTAAGGCAATTTGCTAATAATAGTTATTTTTTTAGGTCTTCTGGAAGATCACGAAGGCGTTGGTGTGCGAGGAGCGAGGTCAGCGACCTGCCTAGGACTGCGATTGTACCGGTTGTCGGACGTAGAGGAGGACGATGACATGCCGCGCCTGCCACACTCGAGTCACGTTTACACTTTTACCAACAGGTACTTGACGTCCGTAGACTCTAATCGTGTCTTGAACCAAGAGACGTGTTTTTCTAAATGCAAATATTTTAGCACGGTATTGCACCCGAACGACGGCAGCCTGGCGGGAAGCAGCGTGAGCAGCGTGTGCAGTAGTGGCATGAGTAGCCTGTCGAGCAGCGTGCTGGGCAGCGCGTGGAGTTCGCGGATGACGTCGCGGCGGTCGTCGGCGACCGTGTCGCCCGTGCACTCGCGGCGTGAGTCTCTGTGCCTGCCGCCGTCGCGGCCGCATTTCTCACCTACGGCCACGCCGGCCAACAGTCCGCTGCTGGGCTCGCCGGAGCAGTCCCCGCCGCCGACGCCGAGACCCGGCGACGCACCGCCGTCGCTGCACACGCTCATCGCCAGCGGTACTTCCATCCTTCGGCGGCGCACGGCAGCATCGCCTGCGTCCGACGCGTCGCCCGCCCCTATTGCGCTTCAGACGCCCGGATCGCTTTACACTGGCCTCGTGCACCGTAGTCCCATGGAACAGCTGACCTGCCTGAAGCGGAACCTGCGCTCGCCGGCCGCGCCGCCGGTTGAGCGTAGCGACTCCGGCGACATGCCTTTCGGAGTGCCGGCGCACCCCGGCGAGGGCGCGTTGGACGCCGCCACCGCTCCGCTAGGGAGGCGGCCGCGCGCCCGCGCTCCCCGCCCCCGCGCCGACCTGGGCACGGTGGGTGCGCCGCCGCCCGTGCGCCCCGCACCGGCGCATCAATCGCCCCTGGGAACTCTGAGCACGCTACTGTTCGGTCGAAAGGGTGGTCTGCTCTGAGGGGATCAAATCGTTTTCCCTGATCTTTCTACGTTAACCCCTACGTCGTTGCGGTCATCGTCGTGTGTCCGCTATCCTGGTAGAGGTTTCGGCCCGAAATCTGGCATTTAGATCTATTTATTTTGCAATTTGTGATTTAACTTTACACTTTTATAAGTTTTTCTACGAAGTACCTCTTATAATTTTTCAGACGTATACTTGGCAAGTGACCGTCTGCGTAGATGTTTTATGCTTTGATTTCGTTTGTGATTATTGTAAGAAGTTCGATTTTATTATCTTGACGTGTATTTTTGTTGGCGATTGTTGTGATTTCATCAGAGTTATTTATGTGCATTTATCCGGTTGATCGAGGGGTATAAAACTTGCAGCTCTATTGAGTACCTTTTATCTCATGGAAACGAATTAGTCGATGTCCACGGTGTGGCATTTTGATTTTCTCTCTTTACGTTTACATTCCTTTTTTAAGAGCTCAATGATCATAACTAAGTGCAGAGAGAATTGTTGAGAGGACCAAGCGTGCACGTGCAAAAAGAAACTTGTTCCGATGCGATAGAAATGATACTGGTAAGCAACAAACGAATTATAGGTACGGTTTTTATTAAGTACTTAATGACTTATTAGTGATTTTTTTTACCCTGTGGGTTCAACCCGCGCCGTGCAGTCTGTAATAGTATTTAATAGGCTTTGTAATTAATTAATTTATTTGTAGTAGGTAAATAGTGAGACTTAACACTTAGTTTTCACAGCTGCATCTACAAAAATAATTTATAAATCATACTGCTTTCAAATTTGTAATTGCGGTATTATCGTGCGAATAAATAATTATTTAGGAAATGAAAATATTTTCCGGATTTAAATCGCGTATATTTGTCGTAAATCCGCGTAAATCCGGAAAATAGTTTCATTTCCTATGTGTAAAAATCGCGATAAGAACTCGATAAATAATTATTTGTTTAGTAAATAAATATTGTTATAGATCATTGTAAATAAATCGACTTCCATTAATTTAGAAGAGTACAAATCATTCTTTCGTCAGGGAAACTATTAGTAATGTAACTAACAATTAATACGAGTTAAATATTTTTGTTCAATTTTGTTAGACTTTGTCTCTTCTCTCGTACTGAGAATGTAAATATTGTACTGTAACGAAAAAGTTAAATCGATAATTTATTTGCTTGATTTTGGTGGATTTAGTTGAAATTGTTAATAATTTAGGGTCTCAATATAAATAATGGTGCATGCCATAGATTAAGTAGTTTTGAAATTAATTGGAAGGAAATGACGTTAGCCGATGCGAGAATGGTTGTTGCGTAGTTAATAAAAGAAGCGAAAGTCGCTGTCAAGAAACGTTGTATAAATAAATCCGCATTCTGCATCACAATATGTTATCATTTTGTTACAATCGAGATTGATCCAATGTTGTCTGTAATTCAATTAATAAGTTTACAGAAATCGGTGCTACATAGAATACAACCAGTAAAGTTTGTTGATTTATTTATTGACTTAGCATTGCGCTTAATAAATACATTGTCTAATTTTTGTGTTTATCGTTTCAAAATTAACACCTTAGAAAGTAATGGAAATGATATTTTTACATTGTGGGAACGGAGGTGAGTAGCTATTTTTGATTAACACAAAGGTCAGGCAGTGTGATTAACTCTATTGGTATTAAAGTTGGTACGATACCACGTGCTGGACTATAAAGTAATATTCACTTGTGTTTTTGTTATACGTAAGTATTGTGTTGTCCAAGATATGATAATTAACAGACTGAGGTGAAGGATGATTGGAAGTGCAGTGTTGGCTGGAATCAGGTGCACTTACTGCAGCGAGTTAGGCGCAAATTGAAAGGAAATATTGTTGAGATTTGACGATTACAACAAAATAATAATTATGATTGTATCATAAACAGAAAATATAATTTATTGAAAGTATGTTTGACTTTTGCTTTTCATGACCCCTTGAATAACGAAGGAAACGAATGACAATGATTCTATTCTATTCTTTGTTAAGTGTCTGGCTTCTCTTGAAGAATTTTGCCAATGTCAAGTCAGTCATGGGAGTTACACTTTTATTTTTTTTTATGTTTAATTAATTAACATTGCTCTTTAGTTTATTCCGGCTTCTGGAACAATACAAAACAAGACGATATACCATCACCATTACATATATGTTAATATAAGTAAATTAGTTTTATAAGTTTGTTAGTACTAATAAAATCAGATATTAATTCTACGAGGGGATTAGTAAAAACAGATAACAGAAACTTGAAATTGACGGGGCGTGGAGTATAAGGTGGAAGACTATCATAAATGGAACATGTTTTGGTAGGGCAGCTGAAGAATATGTGGTCTGGTGTGCCTTCATTCAGGCCACATTTACAAATTGAGCTATTCCGTATTCTAAGTTTTGACAGATGGACTGGGGTGCAGGTATGACCAATACGGAGTCGGCATATTGTAGACGTTACAGTTTTACCAAATTCTTTATAGATAAAAAACCAAGGCTTTTTGGGAATACATGTTTAGATGTCACCGAAATATTTGCCCTTAGTGAGTTTACTTTTGTTCCACTCAGCGCTCCATGACAATGATGACAACGACTTCGACAAAGACTATTCCGTCTTGTCTCTGACAATTGGTACGGTGGCCATCCTAGTGTATGATTTTTCTACGCAGCACCGGTTGGCTAGCCCAGCGCCCGGGTACAATCAATAACCTGGCGCCCTCTAGTAGGCACGCGATTAAAATGAATCCACTACACGTATATTTTCTCCAGTGATTTGAAATTCTGGTGCAATTACAAATGATGTTGAGAAGCAATAGCTCGCTCTGTGGAGGCATCGCGAGCGGCCCTCGGTGTCCCCAAGACCCTGCGTCCCTGTGCGCCTCACGCTGTGCACCATAGGTAAAGCCTGTTGGTAGTACATTTGTGTGTAACTATATCCATCAAAGAAATTATATCAATCTTCGATATCTTTCTTTTTGTCCATCCTCTAAGATATCGTCCGACGGAGCGACTAATTCTATCGCGTCTACAACCTAAGACGTTATTTACAACCACCTAATTAAGCTGTGGTTCTCAGAAAATGGTGCCGCCGGAGTTTTTTTTAATAATATCAAGTGACGGGACGAACAAGTCGTGCGCCTGATGCTGTAAGCTACACGCCATAACAGGTGTAGTGCCACTCAGAGCTTTAAATCGCAAAGATTTGAGGGGCACTGTCACTGCGCCCGTCACCTTGAGACGTAAGTTGACAAGTCTCATGTGCCTTTAATTTATGCTTATTCTATATAATAATAATAAGCTCATTCTAGTGTCGAAGTATGAAATTATGGTCACGAAGGAATAAAGGTGCTTTTCCACAGATGAGGCGAGACAAGGAAAAATTAAAATTTGTATGACAAATCTTCGGTGGAAACGGGTGAATTGACGAGGATGAGCGAGGCAAGAATTGAAGTACATCAACAAATGTAATGTTGAACCGTATTGCTGCATAGAGTATTTATACTCTGCAACGGAAACATGATTTCTCGCGGGAGCTCGCGCAGGATCGCGCGGGCACTTGCTATTAATATCAATCGCTAGATTGTGGAGTACGTACGATTTGAGATTAAAAAAAGTTTTATTTAATTTGATTCTTCTTCCGTTAACATATTACTTCAGCATAGTATTTATCACTAGATGAATTGAGCAGCATTCTTTTCTTCTCTATCCACAATGTCAGCTCGAGCTATTAATGGATATTTTTGGTGGAAATGGGCCGGCGAGATTTCAAATTTCTCCTCGTCTCGCTTTGCCGGTGGAAAACCACCTTAAGACACGCACGCTATGTTGGCGTATTGTTGCTATGGCAATAACAGTATTTGTCACAACAATAACGAGGAGAAATCGAAACCTTTTCAAAAAAGCATCTTAAAGTTGGAATTGTAGTAATTGTAGTCCTTGAACATATTTAATTCCTTAAAATGACAGAGCAAATAAAATTCATTGTGAAGGAAGTTAACTCAACTCTGGGTAGAAGTTATGATCTGATAAAATTCGATGCGTTGGATGAAAAGCAGCTTTTGCAGCTGCTGGTAGATTTGCTCGTCAGCTTCAATGCTGGAGAAAAGGTGAGGAAACATTTGCATCCTGAAAAATCTATGTTCCACCAACGATATCTATGTAGGTACTAGTAGTAAATTGTAGTCGTTTTGATTGTTTGAGTCGTTTTGTTGAAGTACATCCTATTAATTATTTAAGTTTTATTTTGTCCTCTTATTTTAGTTTTCTTTTTTTTTTATTTAAAACGTACAATTTTTGAAAAAACAAATATTATTTAAATCCGGAAAAAACTTTTACAGTTTATGCTTTACATTAAAAAGAAAGCAGAACTGACACTGACCTATCTCAGTCACTTCCATACTCTGCAAGACTATGGAACGTGTACTTAATACCCTCTCCTGTTGCACCTTGAAGACAACGACGTCCTCAGTGATCGCCCGTACGGACTCGGACGAGGGCGATCTACTGGGGATCTTCTTGTACGCCTCTCATCTATGGAGCGAGGCTATAGTAAGACATGGCGAAGTCCTTGCAGTGTCTTTAGAGATTTATAAAGCCTTTGACAGGGTCTGGCACACAAGCCTATTAAGCAAGCTTCCCTTTTATGGGCTGTATGGAATATTGCTGCCACTTACGGGATGGCTCTGCTAAATACCAACTGGCCACCTTGGATTCAATCGACTATCGTGCTAACCGGCTTATAGGTGACTCGAAATTAGTAGAGGCGAAGCTGCAGAGCCTTGAACACCGCCGTATAGTTGCCTGCTTATCGGTACTCTGCAGGATATATCACGGAGAGTGCAATGGAATTACATAATTTGATTCCAACTTCCCCTTTCCATCATCGGGGGACCACACGTGGGCTGGGATTCCACCCCTATGTTGTGGATATTCCCAGGATTCGCACGAAGCGTTTCGCTTCCACATTTATGTGGCGAGCGGCTGGAGAGTGGTAATTCCCTACCTGCGGACTTGTTCCCCGAACGCTATAACCTGGACCTTTTCAAGGCGAGAGTGTATATGTATTATTTAGGTGTGCATGCTACATCGTCGACTTCATCATCACTTTCCATCAGGTGAGATGGACGTCAAATGCGCACTTATTTTTTATAAAAAAAAGTCGGCTATGTAGATATTTACTTAAATTTTGCGTAAATAAACATGATTAACAATGAAAATGGTTGTCGTTAACGATAGTCACTTGAATAAACAATCTGTTAGTAACTTGATGTATCTACTTATACAGAAGTCAGTTTTTGCACGCCACACTTTATCCGTAGCTTTCCTTATCTAACTTAACGCTTTACTGAATTTCGCCGTCATAGTTTTCTTGCTATTTGTTCAGGTGGTCCGTAAAAATTTTTGTTATAAATTTGTACTTAACTCTAGGGGAGTTTGAAAGAATGAAACGGTAGATATGATCGACTGTACTTAAGTAAGCGGTTACCAGTACCAGCTCCGTTAGTTTTATATAGTTTAGTCTTCGATCAAATAGTTTATGATTTCATTATTAATCTAGCATAACTTCTCGATTTACTGTTGAGAGTCAAACATTGCGCTTATATCGTTGCAATATCCAAACGACTCACAGAATATAAGAGCGTCATTTATGTAACTAACCACTCTACCGCGAAGAATCAAATGTGGTGGTGCTTACGTTGTCATTTAAATCATCTATGCCGTGTCAAATCTGTAATACCGAAAACATCATTTTGAGAAAAGGCTGCTACAAGAATTTTTTATTTTTCAGGATAATAACTTATAAATCGTAGGTGAAAAAAGCAATAAAGTAGGGAAGTTACTTTAATTAAACTGGTGCCCAATTGTTGGACGTCTCCTTTGTTATGCGAGGTTTAGTGATGGCAAATTATTTTAAAAGAATTTAAACGATCTTTGCAGTTGGATATTCGTGAAGATGACACAGAAACAGTTTCAGTTCGCCTTTTGGAAATGCTAGCAAGTGTCAAGTATCGACCACCACAGGGAGTGGAACCATCTCGATTTCGTGCCCAACTTTTAGCTGGTGATTCGAGGACTATCCACCACGTCATGCATTGGCTTCTTCTTAACAAGAACCAAGTCCAAAATACTGCTTATTTGGCCAAGTGAGTATTAGTTTACTAAAGTAACTATAGCACATACGCGCCATTAAGTTGATACCTAATAGGATTGTGGTAATTTGGAAAGTACTGCCTACATAGTTATTTTTGGAAAGTACCCTCTAGGTGTAAAGACACATAGGCATAAGCAATGTATTAAGTGAGGGGTGTTTACAATTTAGAAGTATTTAAATGACTATATATGACTTGATGTGCCTATATAATGCGAGCAATAAGGACAGGTTTAGGTCTGCGAGTATCGTATTACAGCTGAGGATTACTCTACGCGTGGAGATTAATTGCCCTCATACGAGTTTCGCATGCCTGTAACAAATAGCAGGGAATCACGGGTTAGTTATATAAGACTCCTTATTTGTAGCGTGTGGGCAGGGGTAAATACCTAAGTCCGCACGCTACGCGGCTGGCACGTGTCAGGAACTTTTATGTTGTCTTTACCTCAGTGTACAGGCAACAGGGCATTCGTATTTATTACAAATACGGATTATATAAAAGAAAAATGTGGGCAAGAAGATAATTTTTGACATTGAATTCTTAGGTACTTGGATTCTACTATAGGTAATATAATACAGAAGTACGTATTGCTTCGATTATCTTATTACGTCCGTAAGTAGGTAGGTACGTACCCACCTAAATTAGAATGTAGGTAATGTGTAAATATATATAATATTTATTTACACATTGCACTTATATTACATTATATTGCATATAATATTTTAATATTTACTATATAGTTATATATAGTAAAAGCCTTTAGAAGACTTTACTCTTCTAAAGTTTACCATGCTTATTTGCTACGCAGAGGTCCTGGGTTCGATTCTCGGGCCGGGAGAAATATTTTTAATGCCTACATTTATTTCTCTCGTGAGTTTGGGTGTAATTTGTGGTTGTCATGGCACCCTCGACACAGGGTTTCCTTAGTGCAGGGATTCATATCGCGTGTGCGTTATGTATTTATTATTTATTAAAGTACTTAAGTCAATTCCGATTTATGTTTGTTGCGAAATAATTGTAGTATGTGTTTTGTAGATATTTGAAAATCCCCGATATTCCAAGTGATGTGGCCCGAAACAATAATATTCAAGATCTTCTTGATTTGTATCAGAATTTAATAGACGAGTTCAAAGAGGTGCATAAAAGAACGAGAATGCTCGAGAAGGAAAATGCTTCTGAAATTATTAATGACATAAAAGAAATGGCGGTTGAGCGAGATATTGGTTTGTATTGGCAATTGATATTTTAACCCATTTGTACAAAATATATAAGGTATCTATGTTTGTAGATAGATACAGTTCACGTAGGTACGTAAAGCAGAGGTATTGGGTACCTCTAATTGGTTACAGTCCCATTATTAGAACCCTCCCAATTGAAAATTATTTATTTATTCATGGAAAACCAACAGTTTCTACCATTTAATAAAAACAGGGAAAGAAACATAAAGCCAATTTACAGGTTTTCACCTATAGCTTCAGACAAATGAAACACGACCATTAAACAAACGAACAATAAACAGTATTTGTTAACAACATGCGTTTACTTAAATGTAACAACCCAACACTTGCGCCAACAGTCACAATTTATTCAATAAAATTTAATAGAATGTCAATGAGTTTTCGCTTTAGCGTATCAACATTACAATTATACATATCAACATCCAGGGCATGATTGCTCAGCACACTATATAAATAAAGCTCTTGCTAGCTCTAATTGACAACTGTTTAGTCTATAATTAGTCCTCGCTAAAGGAACTGAAATAGGGTGATAGTATCTGATAGAACGCGTAAGTACATTAAATGAAATATCACCCAATAGTTCAAGGCAGTCAGCATTACCGTTTATGATGTTAATAATATACGTTATATCAAAGATTTTTCGGCGAATATTTAGAGGTAATAGATTCAGATCCTTACAGAGATGTAGGCGTATTACGTAGACGTATTTGATGTAAATTGATCTCTTAATTCGTTTTTGGCTTATTAGTCAGTCTGTTGATGTATTTACGACATACCCTATCGCTATCAACGGTATCCATATTTTCACTTTTCAGTAATAAAGAGATTGGAAAATGTTCAAGTAAATCTAATGGGCGTTAGTGACAAAGAAGAGTTATTAACCGTTAGTAAAGCTTTGAGAGTTCAACAGGAAAAGACAAAAGAATTGGAAAATCAGGCGAGTAAAATTGAAAAAGTTTCAAATATCGCTTCGTTTACCCGCATTGAGAATTGCTTTTAATTACTGCACTATCTGCATTTTAGTGCCTAATTCAATTATAAAGTAAAATGCAGCGAAACGAAAGTAAGCAAAATACGCCTTGTACGACTTCGTACGGGTCGCGCTTAAAACGGCAGGGCCCTGAAGCTCGGGATTTACTAAATGACTTGGGTCGCCGCCTTGGAGACATGTCCTTTTTTTTTTTTTTTTTTGCGATCACCGTCCGGGTCGTGGTTAGTTCAGCAGGTGTCTATTGCCATCCAGAAAGCAAAGTTACCCGTATTATGGTCAAGTTATCGAGTTGTCGATATTCTCCTGTGTTTTTGTTACAGACCTTTGTACCGGTCTTTCAGCATTTTGCGCCGGTAGTGACATCTAGTGATAGATTTAGAACCTTCTCACCGCAGTCGGTGACTTTACAGGTGCCGGCTGCGGTGAGGAGAATAATCATAACAAACTAGTTGTTTTACAAAAAAATTTCAATTTTATTTTCGTGCCTATTGACGAAGCCTAGTGCTGATCTTTTTGTATATTATTTTTATTGAATAAAGAATATTTTTTTAGTTAGTTCATTATAAAGTTGTAAACTTTACAGTATGAAACGCAACAATCCCAACTTAAAATTGCATCGGATCAACTAAAGCGTTACTTAAATGTAATACACGGTCAGAGCGCGACGCCGAAATCGGTTAACGACGTGATCAAACATTTGCAAGAGGAAATACAGGTGCGTAAACTCCTCACTTCAATAGACCTAATTATAGTTAGGTAAGTTACATGTCCAGTTATACTAATATAATGAAAAAGAGTTTTATTTGAAATTTTGAACAAAAAATTCAAAAAGTGTTTATTTATTCAGTTGAACAGCTATCTCGTAAACGAGAAACTGCCTCAAGAGAGCGCACATCTACAAAAAGAACTGAACATCATGCAGTCCATTGCTACCGAGCAACATCCGACTCGTGCTGATCTGGTTACCGTACAAGACAAGGTAAAGTGGAATAGTTCACGATAATAGCTGGCGCTACGTCGGTATAAATCCTAGAGAAACGAATTACAACAAGAAGTAGTTTTTGGTTTGTTTCTCAAGTAGGTCTTTATGTTTCATCAGAATTGACCGACCGAATCTATTTACATTAATTTGCGATCGCCAGATATTCAAAATAGTGTCTGCATTAGGAAGTTTATCGAAACACCCTAATCTATTTTACGGAAAAATAACAACAGACGCCAGACAAACAAAAAAAGGCACACATGTATGCTGAGCTCTCTCTTCAGTCTTAACTCTCTTCCCAGTTATAATAATGTTCAAAAATTGGCCCTAATAGGGCTTTTTCAATTGTTTTCGTTTAGAAATGATAATTTTTTGTAAAATACAAGTAGGGTAAACGAGTTAGGTTCGATTAGTTTGTCCAATGATACATAAATGATTGTAGAGTTAAGTTAAAGGTCGAATGTCTCTTTGCTTGATTGTTATTAAAAGGGAACGTCCACTTTACACTGATTACTTTGTTATTCCGTTAATTTTTAAGCCTCTTGTTGTAATCTCAGTCAATACAAATTATAAATTCGATTGATACTCCTCCATGATTAAGTCCTATTCCGCCCTCTAGTACGTAACAGCATTAAAATAGAAATAATTAAAATTATTTATATTCATTTATTTTTTATTTAGTTGTGAAATCTAACTTACTTTCTTTTGACTTCTTCCAAGAAATGCCTAGTGATACGCGAAGTACGACACCGAGCATTATTAACAGGAAGTTAGCTGATAAATCCCACGTACAGAACAACAGGTTCTAGGAGAATATCCGTAGCGGTTTGAGCGGAACAGCACTGCTCAAATCGCTCATATGGGCGCCATTTCACCCAACCTTTTCTGTTACTACCATGCTGACACGTTCTATACTCATCAGTGAAAAATGCAGCCTGTTGTATGCATTGTTTGATGTTCCAGTAACGGTGCTCTCGAGCACATGTCGATAACTTAGCATCATTTCATGGCCTATGGCTGGCTGTTTTGAAGTAAGATTTGCTTCTTTCAGACATCTTCTAACTATCCACTCGCTGACAGCTGCTCCTCAATAAGTGAGTTCTTGCTGCACATTGACTCCAGTCAGCACCAGTCTCCTCTTCTGTACACCAAATAGGCTTAAGCGCAGTTGAATAGAGATAGCTCACTTACTAAATCTCTGTTGCAAAAACCCACAACTTGAGCGGTTGCTTACGGCGTAGTACCCATGGTTTTGTCAAAATAATAATCGCGATTCACGGAGATGTGTTCAGGTCAACTTCTAAAAAGTGACTGAGAATAAGCAAAGTGTAAGAGGTAGTTGTGTGCGTAACTCCTGCTGGGTGTACCTACTGCTAGTATGTATATTTTCTTATATTTTCCCTTTATTTGCTTGATTCGACAACCACTGAATCGACTTTGATGCCAATGGTACTTACTTAAAGCTGAAGCTTTTAAAAAATGTGACTTTACAATATAAAAACTGCGGCGAATACACGCTTACGGGTTGAGTTGATTTGTGATTTGTGTTTGATGAAAATAAATGGACATTGTCTTTACATAAATGATGTGAGATTTTGCTGATTATTTTGGGCTGAATTATATAAATTGAATAGATCGAGTTCTTAGGTTTTCGCGATTGTTACATAATTATAAGAAATGAAAATATTTTTCGGATCAAAATCGATTATATTTGTTTTGTCAAAAAAACCAATGTGTCGGGCGCTTTATAGGTCCCATGGTCACAGTCATCGTGGCCATGGCCCGAAACGTTGGTTTCATTTCCTTGAGTAAATAATATTTAGGGGCAATATTTAATCAAATCAACTCAAATCATTTATTTCTTGTGATACACAGGTTATAAAGTTGTTACAAGAATGAATTTTGAATCACTGTGATCCGCCTTATGGCATACAAAGTTTTCTTAGTTTTAGTAATTCTCATGCAATAATTTGTAATAATATTATAATCATGCAGTCCAATTAATGCAACCTAATACTAATGAAACATAATAACAATAGTAAAATAATCAATAACAAATTTAATAATATGAAATGTAAATTTTATAAGAAATCTTCAATATTATGGAATGTCCTATCATTTAGGAAATTAAATAATAATTTCTTAAATTCTGCACAATCGTTGCAATTCCTAATTTCAAGTGGAAGTTTGTTATATACTTTCGTAGCCATTACTATTACACTCTTTTGAAGTGAGCAATTTTACATGATCTACTTTTCAGTTGAAGAGAACGGCGGGCTCGTGTGACGAATTCAAATAAATGAAGATGACGATTTACGATTTAATAGTGATTCTGACTTTTAATTACGATAAAGAATAAAAATTCAACAAAGCTCATTATTTCATAAACTTGGGTTACCAGTTACCACATTACCTAGATTGATGTTTTGATTAATAAAGATTTTATGCGCTATAGTACTAGATAGTTTTCCTATTACCATTATTTTGATTAAAAACACTAATATCAAAGGATTTTACTTAGTAATGAACGTAACCGTGCCCGCATTATGTAGTTCAGTTACAATAATTATTTCATAAATAACGCATAAAAAAAGTACAATTGACTGTAATTGTGCCTTTAGTTCTATTGTAAGCTAAGTATTAAAAGACATATTTGAAGGTGCTTTTCCACCGGTGAGGTTAGACGAGAGTTAAAAGTATGACAAAATTTCGATTCTCTCCTAGCGCGTCTTGGTGGAAATGGTCTGGATTGACGAGTATGGGCCAGGCGAGAATTAAAATTTCATGTAACATTGAATCAATACGATTTAATGTTACATGAACGCCTGTCTACATAGAGAATTATACTCTGTAACGGAAACACGATATCTCGCGCGAGCTCGGGAGTGCCCGCACGAGCTTGCGATAGCTATTAATACCAATCGTGAGATTTTGGGGTACGTGTGATTTGAGGTTTAAAAAAAGATGGCTTAATCTGATTCTTCTTCCGTTAACATATTTAATAATCATAATTTATGGAACATGTTACTTCAGCCGCGTGTTTATCTCTAGACGAACTGAACTGCACTGAATCTTCATTATCCAGAACAAGCAGAGCTCGCAGAGCTTTCGCGAGATATAAAGATAATTTTTGGTGGAAATGGAGATTTCAATTCTCGCCTCTCTCCGTCTCGTCTCGCCTCGCCGGTGGAAAAACATCTTTATTATATTTTTTTACACAAAGTGCGGAACGAACAGGTCGTACGCCTAGTGATGAGTATCCATAACTGTTGCAGTGCCACTTACAGTTTTAAATCGCAAACCTTTTGAGGGTCACTGCCACTGCGCTCGTTACCCTGCCACATAAAGTTGACAAGTGTCATGTGCCTGTACTTTCACCAGCACCCATACCCTTCAAAACCGGAAAGCAGTATTGTTCTTCAACAATACTGATTTCCGTTCAGCTCAGTGTTGTTTCTTTTAAAAACGACTAATTAATTATAGAATGAAAATTTATCTATAAAATGTATTTATAACATAAATAAACTACTTAATATCAAAAATATATTTTATCTGTACTTTTTATAATGTTTATTATAATTTTCTAGGTTTTCACCTAGTAAATATTCAATTTCTTATTTTTTTCCTTTTGAATTTGCTGTTTCTTTCTTTGTTCCGAGGGTAGCGCTTAATTTAAATGTGAAATCAGAAGCAACTACATTGTTGGTGAAGTTCATTATTGCCGACTGTAAAGTTACACTTTAGTCTACGTATCAGTACTTTTCTTTATATTCAAACACTGCATTTATAAAGCTCTAATTTCTTAAAGTCTTTGTATTATACATTCTTTAGATTGCAGCAGTAAACAGTGAGCTGGAGCACATAGTGCAGCGTAAGCTGGCCGCTGCAGGTCCGCAAGAGGACAAGCTGGCTCCATTTAGGCAGCAGGCGGCAGTGATTCGTAGGAACAAGGAGGCAAGTGCCACGCGGGTTCATGAGCTTGCCGCCACGCTTAAGGACCACGAAGCTACTTTAGCTGATTTACAGTCACAGGTAAGGAATTTGGATTAAGGAATCCTTTTTCATATCCACGTAATTTTTTTCTTTATTCTTTAGTTTATAGCGTTAGTCCTTCTCCTCGCGTCGTAATCCTCATTGCTGAGGGTTGCGACTCCCCCAAAATCTAAAAAATAAACTGGTTCTTTGGCATAGAGGAGCGCATCATGGAGACTCGGACCGAGAACCGTACAGGCTTGGTCGGTCCATCTTGGGGGACAGCGACCCCTCGGATGTGTACCGTAGGTCCGTCCAATAACCATTAACTGTTCCAGGTCGAGCCCCTCTTTCCTGACAATGTGACCAAAGCGTAGCGTTAGTAACAATCAATAACTCAGAAACAACATCCATCGTACAACTTATTTAGGTTTACTTTATAACAGAGAAAATATTTTCGAACAGGCATTGCCACGAAAATGACTAGGTTAAAGCTGCTAGCTTATCTACAATTCAAAGTATGTGGAAGGAAAACGAAACTACTGTCGCAAATTGATAAAACGGTAGCCGAATAGGCGAGTGGGGGTTAATTGAAATCTATAGTCTGTCGCGAGAAGTTATCCTGCTGTCTCGTTTCGAAGGCGATCCGATAAGACATTTTTCTCTTTTCATATAATCGGTCATTATGTCCAAAAGCTCAAGATTCGGCTCAGATAATTCGTTATTTCCTGTGAGATTGATGTCTTTTACTGTTTCGAGGGGTACGCAAATATATAAACTTTGGTTATTAAGAAATACTTTAAAACAGGCACATAAATTGTTTCTTCAAGTTTTATTAATTGCATTTATTTAAGAGGGGAATTTATAGGTAGGTACGTATGCTTATAGGCAGGTAAAGTAATCAAGTTACGTATTATTAATGAGTAAAATAAACTCAGGGGTTTGTTAAAGAATTACCCGAAAAATGTAAAGTGTTCTCGCTTTGTATACTAGGTTAAACTGCTCCTGGGCGACACAGTGCTGCGGGGTGAAGAATTGAAGAAATACGTCAGTACCCTGCGCACAAAGAGCACCGTCTACAAAAGGCAGAGAGCCAATCTCTCAACGTTCAAGGTAGGCAATTGAATTGATTATTTTCACAATCTGCACAAACAAAACATGAGTGTCCGTGCTACCATTTTACTCAAACATCTAGTACATTGTATGAATTCACAATGTTGTTAGATTCCGAAAGTTTTCACTTGACACGGTTGATGTACAACAAATAAACTTTTGTGCTTATTTTTGTAACAGGTGGAAGCTGGAATTTTAGCGAGGACTCTTCACATAATAAGTACGAACGACCCTACAATAGAAATGGCGTTGGTAAATCATAAAAAATTGAAAATTGACGACGATGACTTGGAAAAGGAAAATAAGGCCTCAGATTTGGCAAAAAAATCTCTACATGATTTATCACAAGTGCGTTTTTAGTTTATTATGACATTTTTTTATTTTTTTTATTTTTTTTATTAGAGAAATTCACCAAGACTTGGCTGTATGGTTTTAAACCTTTGCCTTTTTCTTTACGGAAAGAATAACAAAAAAACAACACTGAGAAACTGACATTTACACTTTGAAAATAATAGTTTAGTTTTAGATATGTTTGGACCATGTTAGGACGAACTCAATATAAATAGAATCAGTCAAAAAGAAACTTACAGATTAATGATTATTATTCTGCCAATGATCTTATACACACATTTATAATATTTAGTAAGTGTCTAGAGATCAAGCATGTTTTTGCTAATTATTTACTAATCAGGCTTTTTTTACCGAATTTTATTAACACCAATGGATTTTTTTGGTCAATTTCATTTTTAAATTCAAATTATAAAATAGACAAAAAATCCGTAGGTGTTAAAAAAACTTGTTAAAAAAACACACCTTCAGTAATTAGCAAAAATGTGCTTGATCCATAAACTTTTTAGATGAGTTAGCATTGTAATTGTGCTAAAAATACTCTATTTACAAATGGCAAATAAATACTAAATAATAGAAGTACTTAGGGACAAAATAGTCTCTATGATTATACGATTTAAAAAATCAACACCTACAAATTATTAAAAACCAGGATGTGCAGGTTTCATAATGATGTTTTCCTTCACCGAAAAGATTGTGGTAAACAAAACTCGCATATAAATTACGAAAATTCAGAGATGGCGAGGCGAGGCGAACCCGAATTCGCATCCACCGCCTCTACTTGAGAGGCGGCAGGTCAAACTATTAGCGCCCAGTTAAACGACGCGAAAGTTTTCGCGAAGCCGCCCAGTTACCATGCTTTCACGTACGTTAATGTCGAATCTGAAGTCTGTTTACTAAGCAACAACATTTAAATTTCTCTGATTAATACAACCGCGCGGTCGCCGCTTGATCGTCGCTTGATCGTCGCTTGGTCGCCGCGCGGTCGCCGCGTACAAAAAAAGACAAGCCTCACCCGCGCGTTCGAGATACTCATTTAAGTTAAAACGTAAAAGCTAAATAAATAAAGTGAACTTTGCCATGACAGTTAGATGCACGCGGCGGCGTGAGCGCGATGAAATTTGTGACGAATAATGAATGGTCTATCCACACATATCCGGGCCGTGCCCGGGATGTGGACGGGCCGTGCTCCGTCAGGGACCCAAAAAAATATCGTTGCGTATATTTTGTTATATATAACTCGTTCACACATGCGGATGTCCGGGCCGGCGCCGGGACGGGCCCGCAGTACATACAAACCCCGCCCCGGCCACGTCCCGGCTACAAAGCACGCCCCGGCCACGTCCCGGGCACGGCCGTGATGTGTGTGTCCTTAAATGCGCCCTACAATGTTTTGAAGTTAAATAACAGCAAATTGTTTTCGCAGTTGGTAGCGCAAACTGCGCAAAAGTTGTCGCAAGTACGTCAGGAAATACAACCCCTAGCGGATAAAATTAAACCGATTAGAGAGGATTTTCAAACCGTTCAACAACAGTACGAACAAAAGAAGCGAGTTTACGAATCGACTTTCATCAACATAACATCTCAAATGGAACCCTTGAAAAATCAAGTAAAAGATTTGACCGAGCAGCTGAATAGTAAGGAGGATGAATGGAAAAACTTGAGACAAAAAATCACAAAGGCGGAAAGTTTGCAGGAAGTTGTAATGTTTGAAATGAAAAACTCAATGCAGTCGCCACGCAAGCCCTCGAAGATGGAGGCTTTGAAGAAAAAAGTTAGTGAGATCGAGCAAGTCGTCAAAAATCTAGAGGAGGTGAGAGTTTTGTACGTTCTCGTAGGTATTTCTCGATTTCAAGAAATTCGCCAGTATGCTTGTAATTGCTAAATAATATGTATTGAAATTCAGTATTCATTAATGACTATCTCACAGTTTTTTCGGTAACGCGAAGGTTGCCTGGAAGAGATTGCTATATAGCAATAAGGTCGCCTGTTGTACCTGTCTTTTTAATTTTTGTATTATTTTGTATTTGTCCCAGTGGCCAATAAAGAATATTTGCATTGTATTTGTATTATAGTGTATTTGTATTAGCGAACATGCAAGTACGTAACTGCCTCCGGGCTGGACTGTTACCATCCCGCAAGAAATATTTGTATGGCCTACACTTATTTCTCTGGTGAGTTTGGGTGTAATTTGTGTGTGTCCATGGCACCCGCAATATGGATTTCTGTTGGTTTCCCTAGGGAGGAGCTATGACTGTGTGCGTTATTATTATTACATAATAACATTTACTAACTTTATAAGACTTAGAAATAGAAACAACCAAATTAATGAACAAAAATAAAACAATAAATTAATAAAAGTATTAAATTGTTTTAAATAATAAAATATCTTAATAAAGTAATTCAATAAAATAATGAAATTATAATG